TGATTTCCATAGCATCTTCAAACACTTCTTTTAATTCTTCCTGAGTGACTTTGTAAGGCAAATTTTTGGCCAAAAGTGTTCTGGCATCTCGATCTGGATTAAACAGAGAAAAGTTAAAAAGATTTATTATTCAACAAGTATTTCTGAAAGCCTCTAATGTGCAAAGAAAAATACAAGGCTGTACCAAGCATGTTAGAGAAAACACTTGCCCTTGGTTCTGTCACAGCAAACTATGTGCTGAAAGAACAGAACTGGCCTAACAAAACTCGAAGTGGCCGCTAGTTTTTCAGTAGAAAATGTACCATTTTAAATGGACGTGTGTAAAGGAAAGGCTGGCAGGGACAGAGCATAAAAAGAACAGACAATGTATGTGATCATGATGCCGTTGCCATGTACAAGACACAGAAACACTGCTGGGCTGTGCTAAGTACTGGTCTGTTTGAATCCACTGTGGCCACGGTGTATCCCAGCACCTTAACATTTTGGTGTGCACTAGGGTTTTCCCTGGGAGACACCTTCCTCCCCAGCCATCAGTTAACAGGACTGGGCAATCTTTTCTCTAGATATTTCCGTATAAACAAGTTTGAAAAGTTCTTCCCTACGCACCTTTCTTACTGTCTTTCCCCTTTGGTCTCTCTAGTTTAATTTCATTGCCAAAGACTTTTAAGCCAGTGAGTTCCAAGGCTCTTTCCAGGTCCTCAGCAGATTCAAAATCCACATAGCCAAACTTCCTGGAGGATGAAGAAAGAAAGTCAACAGCTTTACCAAACATTCTGAGCGCCATTCCATAGCACTAATGCAGTATGCAAATAAAGCATATAGAAAACATCCTAAATCTCTGCAGGTAATACTAATACCAACGCCAAGTACACTAACTACACTCACTGCTTACCATAAATCTAAGATTGATATGACTGGCCTTCAGATCATGACAAAAACCTTGACAGAATCTGACCAGAAAGATTTTTTGAAAATACAAATTGTTACATTTAGTGTGTGTCATTCTTGTGCAGGGACCATGCGAATCTTCTCTTTAGCATTAGAATTTTAATACGTGTGCAGCTGAAGCAAGCACTGACAGAAGAATTCTTATCTGGCAAAAAAAGCTATTACGGATTCTTTGGTATGACTGAAGAACGAGCCAGCAAATTCTGTTAACTATTAATGAATTATTTGGTGCTACACTGAAAATGTGAAGTTTTAAAACCAGTTACTTACCTAGTCATACCAATTCTGACATCTGTAACAGTAAGATCATTTTTAGCAAAAACGTCACTGAGACCAGTTTTTAATTCAGGGGCAGATTTGTTGCAGTTCAGGTTTCCAACAAAGAGATTGAAAGTTGAAGTTGGTTCAACAGCTGTAGGAAAACAAACGGGGGAAAGACCTCAATTTAGTGACAGTGACAAAAATGAACTTGCACACTTGTACATCTCACACACATCAGCATCTTAATGTGACATCAGGATTCAGTATTAAGTCCCTTTGTCATTCATCATTTGTGCTGTGTATGTTCCCCTAGCCCTGAAAATGCTGTCAATTACCTTCTACTTTCTGTTTCTTGGCTTCAGGAGCAGCTTTCTGCTTGGTCATGTCCTTTTTTCGCTTTCCAGATACTTCTTTGACAGGTTCTAAGAAAATGTGAAAATGTGTTATCTCACAGAGCTGTCACCTGTATCCAAGTGTTTCCTTTAAACACCTGAGGAAACTTTAACCACTTATACCTGCTTCCTCCTCCTCCTCCTCCTCCTCTTCTTCCTCGTCCTCTTCCTCCTCCTCCTCTTCGTCGTCATCGTCATCTTCGTCGTCGTCATCCTCCTCCTCATCTTCATCCTCAGTCACCATCTTGGTTTTTGTGAGAGGCACTTTGGCAGCTTTCTTTCCTTTGGCGGGTGTCGTCTCCATAGCCTCCTCTTCAGAGTCTACAATGTCAGTCATACGCTTTCTTAGAAATAACATTCAACTCACTCCCCTCAAGTAGGTTTCTGAGACGATAAATCAAGGAACTACAAATCACCAAACTGTAAACTCTAACACTAGCTCTAATAAGAGTACTTAAAGGAGAAATGTTAACATTTAGAAAACCAACCACATACAACCCCTCCAAGCATGTGGAAGTGGCACTTTCCTGAGAATGGCAGCCCTGAACACAAAGGACCCCCTTACAGAGGCGTCTCTGCCCTCAGGGCTGTCCTGTTTGTAGGGTAGACGCTGCTGCACTCACGCCGCGAGTGTCCCACGATCAGCAGCGCGGGAATGACCAGGTACGTACCGTCTTCATCGTCGTCGTCGTCGTCTTCGTCGTCGTCTTCATCGTCCTCATCCTCTGAGCCCGGGGCAGCTGCTTTTGTTTTAATCATTTCTGGCTCAAATTCATCTTCTTCCTCCTCCTCTTCCTCCTCCTCATCGTCTTCCTCCTCCTCTTCTTCCTCGCTGTCTTCATCTTCCTCCTCACTCTCATCCTTCTTGGCATTCTTGCCATTCTTTGCCCCCTTGGTGGGCACAGCACCCTTTTTACCGGGGGTGGCCACCACTGCTTTGCCCGGCGTGGCACCCTTCTTGCCAGGTGCTGCTACAGCTTTGGCAGGTGTAACTGCCATCTTGGCTGGTGTAACTGCCACCTTCTTGCCAGGAGTGACAGCTGCTTTCTTCGCTGGTGCAGCAACCACCACCTTTTTTGTTGAGGACACCATTACTTTCTTTGAGGGCACTGTGGCATTCTTCTTGCCTTTTTTCTGAGGAATAACAACCTACAAGAAAATAAATTGCATTCCTCACCTTTCAATTCATGTGAAGTAACCAAGCATAAGCAATGCTAAATACTACATTAAAAAGCCACCAATAAACTTATACCAAATACGCACTCGAGCTCTGAAGCCATCAATCTTTCACATCAAAAGAGGCTCACTCAGAAACCCTACATATAACAGAATGAAGCCTACCTGGTCCTGAGCCACCCTCATTGTTGCAGCCACTATGTGAATCCATCCTGAGACTACTGCTCTTTTCACTGACCTTTGTTTTTGCAAAAATGATCCTTTTTCCAAGGATCAGCACCAATTACCAATACAACATGTGCAATAAAATCGCATCAACATTAAAATGAACATTTTAACATTTTTGCCGAGCTGCAATCAACTCACAGCTGATTCTCTGTTTTTAGACATAGTTAACCACATGGGAGGAAACAGCCATCCTCTCAGAGCAGCCGGTGGACCCTGAGCATCTGTGACTGTGAGGCGGCTTGTTACTAGCAGGCCACTAAAGCGGACTCCCTCACCAATGGGTAGCCTTGGGTTCTTTATCACACTTCTAAAAGCTTCTACACTGAAAGGCATTCACCACCTAACGAAAAATAGCAGATAGTAGGAGTCTGAAACTGAAAACTAAAAAAGCAAATAGGATAGACGAACCTTTTCCAAACTTAACCAACCAAATGAGAATGTGTGAGGGAGCTCTGGTGGCCTAGTGGCAAGAAGCTGGGCTGCAATCCCAAAGGCATAGGGTTCAAATCCACCAGATGCTCCGCTAGAGGATAAACAATCTCCTGGGACAGCTGGATTTGACTCGCTGCTGGTGGTGGTGGTGGTGGTGGAATGTGTGTTGGGTTTACTGGGGGAAAAGTTGCTTCTTCATAATCAAGTCATGCTCAAAACGACTTTTCTCAAGTAAAGAGTGGTGATCCTGTCTGAGGTTGGGTCAGCGCCTCTGATGGGGTGCAATCAGCATACAGGCGTGCAGTGCTCAACAGCAAAGGTCACACCCACACACAACAAAGGACAAGTAAAAATGTGGTCATGAGTGCTCCCACCAATGAAACCTTCATCAATTACTCCTACGTATTCCTCGAGGCTGTGGGAAAGGGGGGGCATGGCTACAAACAGGAAATCCTCAGACCTGAACCTCAATGCTGCAATTTGTTGTCCAAGTTGTGTCCTCATTTTCTAGTATTTGCCACCAACAAATTCAAACTGGAAAAGTGTAATGATTTCAATTCTATCCCATCTCCCCAAGCCAAGAGACCACATAAAGGTTTTATGTAAGCCCCCAGGCATCTGCCAGGCTGCCAAGCCCTCTTTACCTCTTCTTCACTGCTTTCCTCCTCATCCTCTGACATGTCTTCATCCTCACTGTCTTCCTCTATCTCCTTGGGGGGAGGAGGCAGCTTCTTGGGCTCGCCTTGATTTTTTCCAGCCTAAACGGGAGACCAAATCGGAGTTACACAAACACTGATCACGGGGGGCAGTTCCTTCTCGCCCAGAGCTTTCCTGATGTCCACTACGACTAACTTTTAACTTCCCTTCTCGAGTGCTACGAACTTGTCTTAAAAGTAAAAAATAAGATTTATCCCGATGTCAAACGGCGCCCACCTTTCCTCTCCTCCCCGTGGGCTGTCTCGGGCACAGGTGTTCGAGGAGCTCGCCGAGCACAGGTAACAGAGCCCCGAGCGCGGGGCCCACCGGCCTCCTGGCCCCGGGACCCCCCCCCACCGCCTGTGCCCAGTTCCAGCCCGCCTCCCGCCACCGATCTCATCGCAAACTCCAGTTAATGCATCTTATTTTATTCTGAATGTTGGCCATGGTTCCTAAAGCTTTCTTTCCTTTAGAAAGCACCCCGATCCCCCCAGAGGAATAACAACCTACAATGCACCTGGATAACTGGCATTACTTGTATTGGGGGATTAACTTCCACTGAGACTCAGTATTATTTCATCAAACACACACATACCCTTTACTCTTCCCATCTTTGCTGACTAATCTGATTTCCATAGCATCTTCAAACACTTCTTTTAATTCTTCCTGAGTGACTTTGTAA